ATATGAAAAGATTATACAAGGGTAAAATTAAGCAATATATAAACTATGGTTCTTCAGGAGAAAGCTTACAGTGTTTCAGGTTGTGATTTATTTTCAAAACGGAGTTGACTCTGAACATCACTTTGTTCACCTGCATTGATGTTTGTATTTCTAGTGTGAGCAGTTTATGCAAAGGTAGATATATTCAGAGAAATTTTAAATACATTTATGCAAGTTAATATTGCTTTGCTGATGCTATTTGCTTATTTGATGTTAAATAATGCTATTGTAAATAAAGAATTCTGTTGTTATTGCATCATTTAATAAATTTTAATGCCTTCGGGTTTTACATGGCTTTAGAGATTTCAACGTGTTTCTGTTGTGTCTTCATTTATTCATAGAATGGTGTAAGATGTAGCACTAGAGGGCAGATGAATCAGCAGGTTTTAAAAAGACAGCAGACTTTCTATGTTGAAGGCTCTAATATATTCCAACTAGTTGTAATTCTCAAATCCTTTTATCTTTATAGTGCTATATTAATTAAAAATTTTAATCATATAGTTAATGTGAAAACGCTTCATTATGACTACTTTTTTATATCACAGTCAGGGCAAAATGGGCATCTTTCATGGCAGTTTCAGCAGAGGCAGACCTCAAATGATGTGAAGTGGGACCGAGTAGAGTTAAGGGATGGTTCTCTTTGCTGTGCCAAATGGTTCATTTGAAACAGTTGGAAATGTTTGGTCAATTAAAAAAAAAAAAAAAAAAAAGTAGCTACAAGAGTGCTAGTTTATCAGAATGATCTACTGTTCTCTCTGGGAAATGGATGAGGGAGAAAAGCTATTTATATCAAAGATTTTTAGAAGCTACAGTTATTTTAAAGACCTCCAAATATTATTAACCTTTCACCATTCCTACAAAAACAATAAGGCTTATCCTGCAGTTCTCTTGGCTTCAGCAAAATGATCATGATCCTTGGATATGAGGAAAATACTGCCATGTTAAGGAAAGGAAGGAAGGAAGTTTCTTCCCCATGTGAGTACAAAAACAAGTAGAGAAAACATCTGTGTATAGTAAGAGGAAAAATGTTTCTTATTGGCATTTTGCCTTTGACACGATTATCCCCTTATAATTTATTAATATTAAAAATAAATTTAAAAATCTTGACAACAGTTTTAGCTAAAACTCTTGGCATCAGTCTAAATATGAGAACAATGACATCTGATCTAACTGACTTTACGGAAAAGAAGTGCTGCCTTTTACTTTCTGGATTAGGCTTCACTGACAGAGACCAGTGCATGTAACATACAGCCCAGTTCTTCTAACCTGGCATCATGACAGAAGAGGCAAAAAGTGGCACTGCCTTTTGAAGGTCCTCATGGCTGAGCCTTGCAGACCAGACTTTTCACAGGGATGACACAGTGATGCCCAGAGGCTTTGAATTATTCTCTAGCTTGCTGCTTGCTGCTTATCCTCATTCTCCACGTGTGGAAGGAGGGCTGCGTGTCATGCTGTGCTTGTGGTGAGGAAGAGAGCAGCTAGGGGTATCTGCCCTCTGCCTTGTACTCTTGGGCTCCAAGGTGTGGAAGTAGTGCTGAGTACAGCCTGAGTGGGCCTCTTGGCTGAACTCTTGCCCTGTCCCCTGAAACAATAATTGTGGTGTATGAAACCATCATGATAAATTAGTTCTACTGAAGAAAGCAAAATTGCACTGAAGCCAAAGCAGCCTTGAGCAGTTCTGTGGCCTTGAGCATGTATCAGGTACATACAACTTGTGTCTTCTAATCCTATCTGTGGCACAGCGTCTGTAGGTGTGTGTGCACCGTGTACCCACTGTACAGGGACAGGGTTCACATCAACAGAGGCTGTCATTCTGCTGCTCCCTGTCCTCTCCTATGGTCATAGAAATAAGCTGCTTCTGCTCTGACCTGATCTAAATTGCAGTTTGGGTTATTTTCATGAGAGCATCTGGTGTCATGACTGGGATTCACACATCCTGCCTCACTTGGGAGGAATGTGGGCTGCTCCCTGCTGAACGCTCAGTGCTGCTTGGAAAGGTGCGGGACCTTCTGAAATCCCTGCTGAGGCTTCAGCCGAGAGTCATCTTGTAGCCTCCTGTGGTGTCCAGGGGCTGCTGAATCTCAAGTTTTAATATAAGCCAGTCCAGAGTCTCACTAAGAGTTCCTACTCTTCAGCCTGCTAGAAGAGGGAAGAACGATCACAAATTGATAAAGGAGACGTAGGCTGGGAAAGGTCTGGGTTGGAATTACGGTGTGAATGAACCTGTATGAACAGTGGTGCTTGAGATCTGGGCACTGAGGTCTGTACCACATAGGGACAGACTCTTGAGCCATCTCTCAGCTGCAAAAGAAATCACCCTAGCTATTAAAAACTCAGGTGGTGTGACCAGCCCCATTAACTTTTCCCTGTCTCGAGTTTCAGTCTGAGCTCCTTTGGTACCACTGCTAATGATCCCAACCTTAGCCAGCATGGTGGGCTCATGCTAGACATTGTGACCAGGAGGGACCCCTCATGTGTCTTGTCTCCTTCAGCTTCAGTCTTTGGTTCTGGATAGTTGCCCTGGGGGTGAAAAACATGAAAACATGCAATTGATTGTTCTGAGGGGATTAAGTCTTCTTGGGGGTGTCTGAACCTCTTCTCCTATCCCTTTGCTGTGGGTAGGTCTCAGCTTTGTACTCCCTGGCTGAGGATCCAGATGACCCAGGCTCCCTCTGACGTGACTTTTCTTCCCCTGAAAGAGTGAAAATGGAACCCACACAATCAGAGGAAGCACCACTGCTCCTAAAGGCAGCTCCAGCCTGTTGAGTGCATACACTGTCCTCTCAAAAAGCCCGGCCATGTCAGTGTCCTCTGTATGTGTGTCCCATGTTGGTGTATCTCTGGAATTTGTGCTCAGCTTCACTACCGGGCAAAACTGCAAAAGGGAAAGTGGCAGCTGCATCCCCCAACCTGGGCAGAGGCGCTGGGTCCCAGGCTGTGCTCCAGCACCTGGGCAGGAGGGTCCTGGGATGGGGCTGCTACAGAAGCCAGCTGCTTCTAACATCCCTTAGTAGTTTTGTAGCCAGGAGGATCTCACAGAGTTGTGAGTATTCCCAAGATTAAATGTATATAATCCTTATGGAATGGGAGACTGATCCTTTGCTAATGTGCCCATCGTGTTAAGTTTGTAAATAAACTTCTAGAGCATTATAGGGGCACTCAAACAGGACCAGTGCTAGTAAATCTTGGATTAACTGGTGTGGGTAGGTTGGAAAAGAGATGTTTATAGAATATTAAAGAACAGTAAGGGTTGTAAACAGTTGAAGCTGAAGGTGTAGTGATCCAAATTTGCAGTGTGGGGTATGAAAAGAGAGGTTTACCAGAGTATGTACAAGACCTCTTTCTGTAGGTAACAGATCACTTCCAACTATTGAATGGATAAATGGTGTTGGCTATAAAGCAGGAGGGAAACAGAGAATCCGGCTAAGGCTGAACTCTCTGCAATTTGAACTTTCAAAGTTGCGAAGAACTGGGTAGAACGGGAGATGCACAGTTGCAAAGGAATAGCCCCAACTTACAGAGATTTAAACCTGATAAAGCTGAGTAGTAGAACCAAGTAATACGGAGGAAATTGGTGAATTATGGTGGATCAATCATCTAACTCTGCAAATAACATATCTAGTGAAAATGTGAATCTCCTGTGGCTGCTGCCATTAGACAAATGCATACCAGCCTGCTCGAGTACAAGAGCTGACTGGGCAGGACACTCCAGGGTCAGACAGTATGATTGTCAGTGGTACAAGCGGTCCATGTGTGCAAGGATGCTCAGATAATTCCCTAATACAATGGGGTATATGTTTGGGGTTTTTTAACTTTCTGTTCCCCTGAGGTGCTAGAACCCTTCTGGGGATCATTAGAATATTCTGGCTTTAAGAACAACAGTTTGGGCACAAGGGGACAGGCCAGGTGACAGTTTCAATGCCTTCCAACATGGTATTCCCCCACCTACCCTGAAGTTAGGCACCAAAGGCAGCAGCACTCAATGGTGAAGGGGGCTCTGTGCAGGGGAAGGGTCTGAGATAACATTCAAACCCTCCTTCCACCAGAGAGCCAAAGGTCAAGCTTATTCAACAGCGCAGCAGGAACGTTGCTTTAAATGTTTCAGTTCATACTGAATACACTCCAAATTAACATATCAGCCACCGCTAACTGAGATATTTAAGGATGAAGAAGGTGGAGGTCAACCAACTGACACTGAGACACTCCCCAGCCCTATACAAGCTGCTGAGGTGGTGGGGTTGCCCTGGCTCCTGCAATGTGCCCAGGGATTCCTCTCTAGGAAACGTTCCTGAGAAGACAGTGCAGGAGAGGTGGGCAGACTTTCCTAATGCTCAAAAAATGTCTCTGCCTCCTCATTTTCAGACTACAGTTCACTTCATAACCTCGTATGAATTGTACTACAACTATTCAGGAGGATGGAAGTGTCCCCGATTAACTTGGCCAGGGTAATTTACTCAGGTCTCTGCAAACCGCAGGCAAAGTGGCTTTGTGAGACAAGGACAAGAGATATTCTTGCCCTTGCTTGTGTGCCCACTCAGTGGCCTACTCCAGCAAGGGTAGGAGGATTGCAGCTATATGACAAGATTGGTTTGCTCCAAGTTCTAGATTCGCTTGCTCCAATTTTTTCTTGCACATGTATTTTTTAGTTATTTGTTTATTCTCAATGTATTTGGAGTGTGATGAAAGCAATGGATTGCTTTAGTGAAGTCACTGAGCTAATGACCACATCATTAAAATGCTGCTATATCTAAAGATAAAACTAGTACTGGAAAAGGAAAGTTGAAGCACTTGAATATCTGATTTCCCTTTTTGTAACAGTCCATATCAGCAGAGGCAGTTGCTTCACTGCTCCGTATCCTATAGCCATAGCAAGAAACTGCTTCGGCTCTGACCTGATCTAAATTGTAATTTGGGTTATTCCCACAACAGTATCTGGTGCCGTGACTGGGATACACATGTCCATGCCGCAGCTGGTTGTCAGTGTAAGTGCTGGGGCACCAGGATCCCACAGGTGGGAAGCTGGGCATCCGGGGTCTACTGCGGCACTGCGATCTTGGGAGGATCAGGAGGCTGCTCGTAGGTGTAACCTCTGTGCTTGGGAAGGTGTAGGAGGCAGAGCGCTTTAACACTGGAGCAAGGAAGATGGGAGTAACGGTGATGATGAAGAGCTTGTGTCCAAACTGAGAGGAGAATAGGAGGGCTTGGAATGCAATTTCTTGGATTGAGAGCTCTGAACCAATTCAAGGAGATGAAATCTGTGTCAGGCCACTTTTAGCTGACTGAATGGTATGCAAGCAGCACCCAGGGATGTCCCTCAGTGCTTGTCTTTAATATGCATTCCCACATCACTGTGGAGAAGGAAGACCCTCCGAAATCCTCCAGCTGGGGAGGGAGGCTGACAGACTTTGTGATTACTTTGTAACAAGCCATAAAATCATAAGAAAGTCCCAAAGGAAAACCTGAGCCGCACTTCAGTAGTAAAAAAGCCAAATGCTGCAGGAGCAGGCAAGTTGCTGGTGACAGCGGCGTGCTCTGGGCGGATGGCTCTGGCCTGGGGAACATCTGTAAGGTGTCACTGAGCAAGGTGCTAAATAACAGCAGCCCCTCCTGTCGAAGCAAGGGAGTTCCCAGGGCTCCTTTTAAGGCTTTTCTTTTTATAGCCATAATCTCAGAGTGAATTTTCACTTCATATGATGTGCCCCCTACGCTGCTGGCAGCAGAGATGCTCTACACCAAGGGGCACCTGCCTAAACCGAGTGTGGGAGCCCCGCAAAGTGAATCAATGTTTCTGTTTGCCTTGCTTTTCACAGGCGGAAGAAGCGATCTATTTCCCTGGCCAGGCTGAAAATACACATCAAGACTAGCACCTGGAAATTGGTTTTATTTTTACAGAGCTGCTCCCCTGCCATGGTGAGCAAAACCAACCCCCAGCTTGTTTCAGGTGCAGCCCTGGAGAGTAGGAGGCTGCAGGGACAGGGCTGGCCGTGGCACTGGCCTGTCTGCTGGAGGTGGCTCTGCACAACTGCACTTCTGCTTCCCCCATCTCTCTTTTAATGCAGTAAATGCCTTTAACCTCTTAAGGGATCAAAGCCTCCAAATATTATGTGCAATATAGTGATAACAGTGCCTCTTCTCCTGGGCTCTGTGTCATCAGGCTTCCAAAAAAAGAAATATTTTTATTTCTGGGCATATCTACAATTTAACTAATGACAATCTCACACTGTGTTTGTTGGTCTTCATGTCTCCTGAATCTCCAGGGTGAGCATGTCTCCGTCAAAAGCCCCTTTTCCTTTCCCTGTGCTGTGGTACCTGGGCATGAGGTAGCCAAAGAATTCCAGATTATCTGGCAACACTTAATTTCTAAGGGTAAGGCAAATTTTCTGTGTGGAGTCAAAGGCTTATTCCTGTAAATCTGATTAATGCTGGTACTACTTTTATGCTACTGATGCTGCATCAATAAAACTATATTAAACTGCCTGCCTGAAACTGTTTCCTAAAGCAATATGACATTCGGTTCTGTCTTACAAATAACGGAAGTTTGGTACAACACAGAGAGAGTAAAAAAAATATTAAAAAAAAAAAAAATCAGGCTATTTAAGCTAAGGGACTATCTCAAGTGAGTTTCAGAAGTCTGCATTCCTACCTTCTCCCTAAGCCTCCTGTGCATATTGGCTGTCCCTGGTGTATTCAGTATTTTTGTCTTGCAAACAGAGGTTAGGATGGAGAATGAGGTTGAAGGTAGGAGAATTAGCCTAATACATTTAATGCAAAGTACCTAAGTGTTCAAACTCAAGGTTGGGCACAAAGCTGCACTGGGCTGACTGTGGAAGGAGTTTTGGGAGCTGGGAGAGCATGATGCATGATCAGTTCTCTGTCTCCCTCAGTAGCTCTGGGTGCTTGTGTTTTCTTATTGTTTTGTGTTTTTGTGTTTTCTGTCTTATTGTTTATGTCCTGAGTGAAAAAAAGTAAGGGGAAATTCCAAATTGAAGCTTTTGTTAGAGAGGAATTACAGTGCCTGAGGTCCTATGCTCTGAACACCCTCATTCCCCGGGGGCACCTGGTGATTCTTTCTCAAACTCTATTTTAGAGCACTTTGGTCAGGCTAGATAAGAAATAAGGACTGGAAGGATGGCTTCACCTCTGGTCAAGTGCAGTCAGCAACTGCTCCAGAGCCACAGTCTTTCTGCCTCTTTAGGCGATTCCAGATACATCCCTTCTTTGGGATGAAGGCAATGTTTTACAGATCATATGGAGCTATGTTAATTAATTTTTATAGGACACCATAACTATTCAAATGGCATCTAAACCTCCGGGAGTCAGACCTGGATATGTTTGTTCCCCACTCCAGCTGTGTCTGTGCAGGTTGGCTGGTGCTATGCTGTGCCCTGGGAAGCCTTACGCTACGCTGCCATGCTCCCCAAGCTCTCTGCAGTGCAGCACAGCCCACCCTGTACCTTCCTGCCACGCCTGCATGTGCAGTGTCACCCAGGCTGGACCCTGGCAGGGAATGAGCTACCCAAGGGGAGGCTCTGCAGTAACCTGTCCTGCATGGAGTTTTGCACCAGACTAAAGATTTCTCCATCTCCCTGCACCAGAAGGGATGACATGCTGCAATGGCAGGGTGCAATCCTGAGATCCTGCGGTCCCTTCCAGATCCCCTTTTTATAGCAATTGCAGCACATAGCCACATGGGAGGAAGGAGATTAGGAGGATGAAGCCCACAGAAAAAATAGCATGAAACCCTGCAGAAGGGGATCAACCAGCACCTCTGCAGGGGGCAATGTCCAGATGTCTTCCTCTGGTCCCGTTCCAGGCAAGTCCTGGCACAGGAGGCCTGGTCATGGCATCTGGGAAAGCCCAGCAGGAGCCCAGTGTCCTGCCAAGCACCCAAATACCAGCCCCAAGCTAAAACAAACCTCCGCAACGCCCGTGAGACCTACAGCGGCGGGGAGCGTGCTGCTCCGTGTGCAGGTCCCCGGCGTTTGGGAGGCATCTTTTGACTTTCCATACCCAACCCCACACCTGCAACCCCCCAGACACTGTGCGGGGGCTGTGGGTCCCGCTGGGGCGCTCGGAGGGCCACTGGCAGGGCGCTCACCCACTGCAGTGGGTGCTCACCCGTGGGAGCGCGGCCCCGCAGGAGCTCGGGGAGAGGCAGAGCCC